CCCCGACAATGATCATAAATTCGTACTGCTTTAGGTACATTTTTTTACTTGATTAACATACGAAATCGTATCGTTTAAATTATAATTCTTGACTAGCTCTACAATGTAATAAAGTCGGTTTTGTAAGTGAAATGAATACAGAGCCTTTAGGAATCTTCATAAGTGAGCATAAATTTTTTTAAAATTAAAATTTCTTTATATATTCCTTATAGCCGGATTACAAGTCATTTTGAAAAATTTAGATATAATGAGAACTAATTATTTAAACTTCTAATATGTGAATTTACGTAACTAGATATAATTATATCATGATTACCTGATTAACTTACATTACGGAAATTTAGATACTTTGTGCTTTCATCGGAAATTTAGATACTTTGTGCTTTCATCGAACATATAGATAAGTATATAATATTTATGCATTTGTATTGTAAAATTAATAGATTTATCAGAGCAACTTTGAATTTGTTTGCGAATACGAATTGGCGCTCCGGAACCAAGCGGATCCATTTCTCTAGTTTATTAATAAGAAGCTTCTGACTTGATTTATTATTATTCAAATAGTTCACTAAAAATTTACAATTTAATAAAATTAATTATGCGATTATTGAAAATTTTAATATGCTCTATAAAAAATTTAAATACTTTATTTTTAAAAATAATTGATAATTGATAATAATAGTGAATATCGGTTAAAATACTCAAATTTAAATAATTTTCAATGTTCTAAAAACAACAAAATTTCAGATATAAATCTATAGACGCCTAATGGATCGCTTGCAATATAGGTGATACCTATTCTAAATCAATTGATTAATTATACTTTTTATTAATCGTCCCAATTATACTGCAAGAAATTCCGCTTAATATTTAAAGTTTTTAAATTAAAAAATTTACCACAATAATTCACGAAATTTTTAAAATCTAGTTCTTTAAAATCTGTATCTAATTCTAAAAAAGTTAATGTGGTTGGTAACTTACAAATTAATTTAAAATACTCTTGATAATATACTTTAAACGCATTAATATGAAGAGATTTAAGAGATGATTGCAGTAAAAAAGAATATATAAATGTGAGCGAAAATGCATTCATCTCAGAAATTATCAACTCTTTAAGATTTGAACAGTGAATTATTAGTGCATTTCCAATTTCTTGACTTAATGTATCCAGATGTAAAACTTCTAGAGTTGATCCCCACATAGAAATTAAAGCGATTAAAATATAAGTTTGATCTAAGCTTAAATCTGTAACTAATCTCAACCCTGTAATTTCTAGTTTTTTTAAATTCAATTTGTTTTTAGATAGTAAAGTGCAATGTTTTTTTGTCATTCCTTGACAATTAATGAAACTAATTCTAACTAAGTTTTGGCATTTAGAAATAATTTCTATATCCTCCGATGAAGTTTTGGAAAAGTCTATATAATGTAACGTAAGTTCTTTTAAGGAATCCTCAAGATATTTTAACGCTGGGAAAAATTTTAGATAATTTATATCATCAGGGGGTTTGACGGTAATTTGTAAATCGACAAAGTAATTTGTCCGACTCAAGGCGTATCTTGCTTCAAGATCTATTATAAAAAGACATGTTATGATTACAAATTATCAGATGAGGTTTTATACTCATGATTATACATGCCTTTCTCATATGTAACGTAGGCTATACTTGTCATCCCTTCCATTCTTGTATAATTAAATTAGTTTAGTAATTATAAAGTAATTTTTAGGCTACATAAATTATAAAGTTTAAGTTATAAACTTACTTTATAAACCTCAATTTAGTGATGCGTCCATAGCGAGAAAGTATTTCTTTAACTAATAAGACAATAGGTAAGTAAAAATTCTTAAAAATTGCACTTAAAAAGAATTTTTTATAATATACTTTTTTAATTACCATAGTGTTTTTTTCTATTCGGAACATTATACAAGATAATACTTCTGGCTACCCTATTAGCATCAAGCTCTAAGTTTTCCAATATTTTATGAGATTTCATAATATTTACGAGTGCGTCGCTTGCATCACTAGGAACAACTTTAAGAGCTAATTTATTCTTTAATCCTTTTATGTTAAGGATTTCTTTATAATCTTTACAGCAACGAAACTTAACTCGTAATGTTTTTAATTGGGTTATTTCTGACATATTATTTAAGAACGATGTTGCTGTTGGAAGCATATGTAGGTCATTGATTGATAATTCCTCAAGTCTTTCACTTGTCCGAAGAAACATTGTAATTAAAGAATCTAAAATAATCTTTGGTGCTAATTTCAACATTTCTTCATAATTACGACTGTCATAGCAGTTAAAACCTTCGTGTTTAAGCCACATTTCTATTCCATTTCTGGTTAAACTTGCATCAAGAATCTTTAAAAAAGATCCATATTCAAAAAAAGGTTTTGGAAGTTGTGGAAGTTTTATACCAAATGAGATTAGCGGTTTCTTTTCTTCAGTAGATAATGTTGTAAGGTATATTCGTATAAGTGATTCGGAAACCTTTCTTTGTAACGGGTTACTCCATAATATTGGTATTGTGTTTAGACACCAAAGACGACTAACAAGGCAACATGAGAATAAACTATTATTGTCGTTTACAAGTTTAATAAGAATTCAATAAATACACTCGTTTGGTATTTCTTTCATGATAAGTAGGCAGTATCTGAACAAACTCCGTGCGCGCGTGAGAACGTATATGTAATCTTATGCAGTTTGCCAAATATATTTATGTTGTAACTTCGGGTAGATATAAAAGCTAATTTGTAATACTAATCCGCCGCCGATAATTAACAAAAAAATGAGTAAGTTATTTTGTAGATTTAAATAGCTAAATTTCTTATATAACAAAAATTATAAAAGATTTAATTTATAAAATATGCCGTAATTTAGAATTTTCGATTTAAAAGTTTTAAATACAATCGTTTTATATTTTATTTTGAATGTTATCTTTCATATTTTTCATTAGGTATTGAATATAGATATCATTCATAATTATTGCATATCTTGTTGTCATAGAAATTCATGATTTAAACATTACTTAGTTCTTTTGATTATGTAACAAAATGCAAGTTTATGAGTAGTATTGTTAGGCGTACCTATTTCCAAAATGATGGACAAAACCAAAATCCAAAAAAAAGAATAAAATCGAAACTTTTACCTCTTGGCGAAACGTCGAAGCCCTGTCAAAATATCGAAACCTTGGCGAAATATCGAAACCTCGGCGAAACGTCAAACTTTGGCGAAACTCTATCACACAAAATGTGTCGACTCCATGATGTCCAAGTCATGAGGGCTTAAAGCAAATAACAGTAAACTTTTTCTCTGACTTAGAAATCACTGAAAAGATAGTATTCAACTATGTTGTTGAACTTTTTAAATATGAGGTTGAGTCAATAGAAAACAAGTAAATATTTTTTAATAAATTTTTTTAAAACTTTAAACAAGAATAACTTAACAAAAACTTGATCAAATTTAATAAATTT